TGCTGCTGCTGCTGCTGCTGCTGCTGCTGCTGCTGCTGCTGCTGCTGCTGCTGCTGCTGCAGGTGGCGCCTAATGCCGGCTGAGCGCTGCCCCTTGTGCTCGCGGCGCTTTTGCTTGAAGTCGGTGGACCGCCACATAGAAGTTTGCAGACAGAGGCAGAAGGAGATGGGACACAGGCTGCCGCAGCAGGCCCAGCCAGCAGCAGCAGCAGCAGCAGCAGCAGCAGCAGCAGCAGCAGCAGCAGCGGCAGCGGCTGGGGGGGGCCTGCAAAGGCAGGCCTCGAAGGCCCCAGCCAGGCGAGGCCGCAGCGCTGGGGGGCCTGCAGGCGCTCAGCCTCTCGCGCTCCCCAGCAGCAGCAGCAGCAGCAGCAGCAGCAGCAGCAGCAGCAGCAGCAGCGATCAAAGACTGGCAGCCATGGGACAGCTAGCTGCTGCGGGGTCCAGTGCGCGCCTGCAACAGAAGCACAGAAGGCAGCAAGTGCTGCAGCAGCAGCAGCAGCAGCAGCAGCAGCAGCAGCATGGCGGCTTCTGTACACGCACAAGCCTCAAACAGCAGTTGAAAACGCACTCCTTTTCATGCGATAGCTACAGGGTCAGCAGCAGCAGCAGCAGCAGCAGCAGCAGCAGCAGCAGCAACTGGGAAGCAGAAGTCGTCAACGGACTCGCTGACGAACTCAGGCAGCTAGGCGTTGAAGATGACCGACTAGCTGCTATAGCTAGCCGCTTTGCTGCGCGTCTTCAGCAGCAGCTGCTGCAGCAGCAGCAGCAGCAGCTGCAGCTGCAGCAGCAAGAAATGCAGTTGCAGCAACAGCAGCAGCAGGTGCAGCAGCAGCAGGAAGTGCAGTTGCAGCAGCAGCTAGAGTGCCTTGGGGAGCCTGCCCTAACTGCGTTGCTGCCCGACGTATTTGCTGCTGCTGCTGCTGCTGCGCGCCGCATAGTTGCTGCAAAACTCTGCGAGCAGCACCAGCGGCAGCAGCGGCAGCAGCAGCTGCTGCTGCTCAAGCCAGAAGAGCAGCAGCAGCAAGACACCCTCATTGCAAGCCGCAAGCTGCGCACAACAATTAGAAGCAGCAGCAGTAACGCTCGCTGCAGCAGCAGCGGCAGCAGCAGCAGCAGCAGGAAAAGCTGCAGCGCGTCAGCAGCAACATGTGAAGGTGGCTTGGCCTCCAGCAAGCTCGCTCAGGCCGAGTCTGCTGCTGCTGCTCCTGTTGCTGCTGCTGCTCCTGTTGCTGCTGCTGGTCCTGTTGCTGCTGCTGCTGCTGCTGCTGCTCGACTGCGCAGCAGCAGCTGCAGCAGCCCTATTGTGTCTCCGCTGACTCTTCCAGCAAGTGTCGAAGCCTTCTCAGGAAGCAGCAGCAGCAAAGCAACAGCTAGGCAAACGCCTCGCAGCCCACGCTCAGCAGCAGAAGCAGCAGCAGGAGCAGCAACTGCAGCAGCAGCAGCAAAACGACTGTCTGCCCAGAAGGCGCTGTGCGTCAAGGGCCGCTGCGGCCGCTGCGGAGGCCTATCCCTAGATGCAGCGCAGCAGCAGCAGCAGCAGCAGCAGCAGCAGCAGCAAGAGGTGAAGACTGCGAGATGGCCCTCAGGAGGCCCTGCCTTAGAGAAGCAGCAAGCATGCACTAGCGGCAGGAGCAGCAGCAATAGCAGCAGCAGCAGCAGCAGCAGCAGCAGTGACAGTGGCAAAGCTGCTGAACAGATACCGGCGCTTTGTCGCCCTCAGCAGCAGCAGCAGCAGCAGCAGCAGCAGCGGCTGGAGCAGTTCGTCCAAGAGCATCAGCTGCTGCTGCAGCAGCAGCGAGGCCTTGAATATCGTGAAATCGAGCAGCAGCAGCGGCTGCAGCAGCTGCAGCAGCAGCTTCACCAGCAGCAAGAAAGGACAGTGTCCCTTACCTCCTCTTTATGCGAATCAGAGGCGCAGCAGCTACAGGAACTGCAGCAGCAGCAGCAAAAGCTGCTGCAGCTGCAGCAGCAGCTGCACCAGTCGACCTCTACAGATCATCTCAGCAGCGCTGACAAGGCAGCAGCAGCAGCAGCAGTTCCTCCTCTGCAGCTGCAGCAGCAGCTGCAGCAGCATCCCAACATGCAGCAGATGCAGCAGCAGGTCCAGCAGCAACTGCAAACGAATGAACGGCAGCAGCTGCAGCAGCAGCAGCTACAGAAGCAACAGCAGCAGCAACGAGCCGTGCTTCTTAAACAGCTTGCTGCAGCAGAGCCAATGCAGCCCTCGCAGCTGCCTGCTCCCCCCGGCATGGGCAACAGCAGCAATAGCTGCAGCAGCAGCAGCTTCAGCAGCAGCAGCAGCAGTAGCTGCAGCAGCAGCCGGCAGCAAAGTGCTGCGTCTCTTGAAGCAGCAGCTTTTGCAGCCGGTGCACCCCGTGGTGTTTCTGCAGCGGGAAGGAGCTTCTGTCAGCTGCAGCTTCAGCAGCAGCAGCAGCAGCGGCAGCAGCAGCAGCTGCTGCAGCAGCAGCGGCCACTTAAACTCGGTGAGGCGCAGCGCCTTCGCTTGCTGCAGCAGCAACCGCTACCAGAACTCAGCCGGTTCGAAAGGCAACAAACTCAGCCGCAGCAGCAGCAGCAGCAGCGGCAGCAGCAGCAGCAGCAGCAGCAGCAGCAGCAGCAGAGGGCAACCCTCGTGAGGAGACAGCGCAGCTTCTCTTCTCGCGAAGCATCTATTTCGCGGTATATATCAATGGAGGCTTCGGAGCAGCAGCAGCAGCAGCAGCAGCAGAAGCAGGGGCTGCCGCAACAGAGCAGCAAGCAACTCCAGACGCGGGAGCAGATTAGGCAGCTGCTGCAGCAGCAGCAGCTACAAGTGCTGCAGCACCAAGCAGCTGCGCAGCAGCTGCCCAGTATCCCCCAACAGATCTCCGTGCAGCAGCAGCAGCAGCCAACGCTGCAGCAGAAAGTACAGCAGCAGCAGCAGCAGCAGCTGTTGCTGGAGAGGACGCAGCTGCTTGCCAGGGCGCAGCAGCCAACTCAGCAGTGGGGCTCGCTGAGGGAGCAGCAACTGTTGCAGCAGCAGCAGCAGGCGCAGCAGCAGCAGGCGCAGCAGCAGCAGGCGCAGCAGCAGCAGGCGCAGCAGCAGCAAATGCTGCAGAGCAGCTGGGCAGCTGCTGCACCCAGCACACCCCAAGACGCCCGCTACGGCTGCTTCCCCTTGCAGCAGCAGCAGCAGCAGCAGCCAGCTTTGCTGCGAACCATGAGGCAGCAGCAGCAGCACCCACAGTCGATGCAGCAGCAGCAGCAGCAGCAACTAGGGCGCCACTACACGCATACAGTGCAGCTGCAGCAACAGCTCCCGCCGCCGCAGCAGCAGCAGCTAGGGCACCATAACATGCAGCCACTGAACCAGCAGCAGCAGCAGCAGCAGTTGCTGCTGCAGCAGCAGCAGCAGCAGCAGCACTGCACGCCTGTACAGCCTCGCCATTACCTCTCGCCACTTCAGCAGCAACCCTGGGCAAGGCAGCAGCAGCCCTTCCTGCAGCAGCAGCAGCAGCCGTTCCTGCAGCAGCAGCAGCAGCCGTTCCTGCAGCAGCAGCAGCAGCAGCAGCAGCGGGTCCTGCACAGCAGGTCACTTGTTTTAGAGGAGAGGCAGCCAGTGCGGAAGACCTTATCTCTTGTAACTGACTGCTACAGGCCTGCTGCTGGCGAAGCAGCAGCTGCTACAGCAGCAGCAGCAGCAACTGCAGCAGCAACGGAAATCAACAACTGTGGGTACTGGCAGCAGCAATTGCAGCAGCAGGAAAGGCACATGCTGCAGCAGCAGCAGCAGCAGCCATCAGCAGCACACAACTATCCCCCGGGACGAGGCGCCCCTCTTATTCTGTCCTTGCCACAGCAGCTGCAGCAGCAGCAGGAGCTGCAGCAGCAACTGCTGCTGCAGCAACAGCAGCAAGCGCAGCAGCAGCAGCTCCTCACGCAAACGCTTAGACCGCAGCTGCAGCAGCAACCGCCTCCCTACTATCTGCAGCAGCAGCAGCAGCAGCAGCCACAACCGGCAACAGCAGCGCCTCACTTTGTAGTAAACTAAACGTTGCACGTTTTTGCTGCACGTATTTATTAGCAGCAAGAGCTGCTGCAGCAGCAGCAGCTGCAGCAGCAGACAGACAGTCCTCTTCAGCAGCAGCACGTAGCTGCTGCAACACCAGCAGCTAGCTGCTGCCTTTGCAGCAGCAGCTAGGTGTAGTGTCATAAACGAACTGCACAGATGCTGTGCTGCTGCTCCTGCCGCAGCAGCAGCAGCAGCAGCAGCTGCACTGGCAGCGGTGGCTGCTGCAGCAGCAGCAGCAGCAGCAACCACGTGCTGCTGCCGCAACAAAGTAATCCCTAAATTATCAGCGACAAACGGCATCTCGTATACGAGCCGCAGCTCCACCGACACACCTTGCTGCAGCAGCAGCAGCAGCAGCGATTGCTGCAGCAGCAGCAGCAATCGGTGCAGCGGCTGCAGCAGGAGAAGTAAAAGCTGCTGCTGCACGCAATAGAAGTTGCTGCTGGAATATCAGGTAACGACACAAGTAACAACTGATGCGGCTGCAGCCGCTGCTGCTGCAGCCATTGCTGCTGCAGCCATTGCTGCTGCAGCCATTGCTGCTGCAGCCATTGCTGCTGCAGACATTGCTGCAGCAGACATTGCTGCTGCAGACATTGCTGCTGCAGCCATTGCTGCAGCAGCAGCAGCCTGCTCGTTTGTGAGCTGGATCCCCCCGACGCTGCAGCAACCCAGCATTCATCACCGCAGGAGCAGCAGCAGCAAAACATGCAGCTAGCAGCAGCAGCAAGCTAGCTGCAGCAGCAAGCTAGCTGCAGCAGCAAGCTAGCTGCAGCAGCAAGCTAGCTGCAGCAGCAAACTAGCTGCAGCAGCAAGCTAGCTGCAGCAGCAAGCTAGCTGCAGCAGCAAGCTAGCTGCAGCAGCAAACTAGCTGCAGCAGCTGGCTAGCTGCACAATACATTCTTAGCTGCGACGCTGCTGCTGCACTGACTGGTAGGCTGGTGCTGCTGCTTTGTTTGCCCCCCCATCCCACTAGGGTTTAGGGTTTATATATTTTTGCCTTAAGTTCTGTTAGGGTTTAGGGTTTAGGGTTTATTTGTTTTTGCCTTAAGTTCTGTTAGGGTTTAGGGTTTATCTATTTTTGCCTTAAATTCTGTTAGGGTTTAAGGCTTGCTTATTTCTGCCCTGCGTTCCGCTAGGGTTTAGGGTTTACCTATTGCCTGTCCCACGTGCCGCAAGGGTTTAGGGTTTAGGGTTTTACTGCCTATCCTACGTGGAGCTAGGGTTTAGGGTTTACCTATTTCCACTCCTTCGGGCGCTAGGGTTTAGAGTCTAGGGTTTAGGGTTTACCTATTGCCATTCCTACGGGAGCTAGGGTTTAGGGTTTGGCTGCTGCCAGTGCTGCGGGAGCTAGGGTTTAGGGTTTAGGGTTTGCCTGCTGCCAGTCCTGCGGCCACTAGGGTTTAGGGTTTAGGGTTTAGGGTTTAGGGTTTGCCTAGTGCCTGCCGCTGGCTCTGCGGCAGGCACCCGTTCCCGGCAGCTAGGGTTTCGAGTTGCGGAGGAGCCTGCCGCCAGTCCCGCGGCCCCTACGGCCTAGGGTTTAGGGCTTAGGGTTTAGGGTTTAGGGTTTAGGGTTTAGGGTTTACCTAGTGCCTGCCGATGGCGCGGAGGCACAGCGGGCAGTTTCTGCTTTTGGCCAGCCAGGTGTCTATACACCCCACGTGGAAGAAGTGCCCGCAGCTCAAAACCCTCACGAGGTCTTCGCCGCAAAAGTCGCAGAGGCAAATCACGCAGCCGCTGAAAGTCGAGGCCAGCCCGCTGCAGCAGCAGCAGCAGCAGCAGCAGCAGCAGCAGCAGCAGCAGCGGAGGTGCAGCAGCAGCCGCGGCGGCGGCAGGCGCGCGGCAGCAAAGCGCCAGCAGCAACGCCGGCGGCAGCCAGAGCCAGCAAAGCAGCAGCAGCAGCAGCAGCAACAGCGGCGCCAGCAAAGCAGCAGCAGCAGCAGCAGCAGCGCCAGCAAAGCAGCAGCAGCAGCAGCGGCGCCAGCAAAGCAGCAGCAGCAGCGGCGCCAGCAAAGCAGTAGCAGCAGCAGCAGCAGCAGCGGCGCCAGCAAAGCAGCAGCAGCAGCAGCAGCAGCAGCGGCGGCACCAAAGCAGCAGCAGCAGCAGCAGCAGAGAGAGTGGTGTGAGAAGATGGGAAGAGGGAGTGCTCCGGGCGTGGGGTACACAGCGCGAGAATAGGGCTGGGGTTTAGGGTTTAGGGTTTAGGGTTTAGGGTTACCTGTTGCTGGCTTGCTGCTGCTGCTGCTGCTGCTGCTGCTGCTGCTGCTCGGGTGCTTCGTCAGGGATGTCTGCTGCTGGCTCCGTCTTCTTTTGCTTCGCGCGCGCGTCTGCAGTCAGCTGCTGCTGCTGCTGCTGCCGGCGGAGCAGCACCTGCTGCTGCTGCTGCTGCTGCTGCTGCTGCTGCTGCTGCTGCTGCAGCAAATCGCGGTGCTGCTGCAGCTTGTCTCTGTACTTCACCACCGCCAGCGCTTCTATTTCGCTGGGATAAGCCCCCCGCCGCCGCCGGGCCCCACGCATTGGTGCTGCTGCTCCTGCTGCTGCTGCTGCTGCTGCTGCTGCTGCTGCTGCTGCTCCCCCCTCTTCTGTGGGCGGCAGCGAAGCCCAGAAGCAGCAAAACGTCGCCGCCAGACGCATCAAACTCACACCAATCTACACGCAAACCCTAAACCCTAAACCCTAAACCCTCAACCCCAAACACTAAACCCTAAACCCTAAACCCTAAACCCTAAACCCTAAACCCTAGCTCAGACAGAGCGCCCACTGTCCCGCGGCCTCCCCACAGTCGCCTTCATTAAAAACCCAAATCACTCCACATCTAAACCCTAATCCCTAAACCCTAACACTAACCCCTAAACCCTAAACCCTAAACCCTAAACCCTAAACCCTCGCTGACCGAGCAAATGGTGAGTCTCCACAGTCCCGGGGCCTCTCCACAATCGTCTTCATTAAAAACCCAAATCACTCCAAGAATAAACCCCAACCCCTAGCCCCTAAACCTAACCCTAAACCCTAAACCCTAAACCCTAAACCCTAAACCCTAAACCCTCGCTGACCGAGCAAATGGTGT